AAAATCTCTACCGGACAGTCAAATTAAATTTTTATGAGCGTTTGAAATTCAATTTTTACAACATTGGATGTTCACTCGATTTCTCACGTAGCGATTTCCTTATTTTGTTGTAATTCAAAAACGAATTACTGTATATACATGAAAATTTCACTGAATGTTTATATTAGCATTTCCTATACACCATACAATTTTGAAAATATTTTGACTCTTTTTGAGCCGTTTACGGACATTTTCAGTTTTCAATTTTTTTAGTTTTTTTTTTCTATAAATATTAATAAAGTTTTATCTGTTGGGCCAAAAAGTGTGAAAAATTAATACAAGGCTCCTGATATATTGTTACAATATCAATTGAAAAATATTAAAAATACATAGGCACAATTTTTTTTTATAAGCATTTAAAGATCGCATTTTGACAAAATTTATCAAAATCTCGAAAATTATCAACCATCGTAATTAATAAATTATAAAATGTTCAGTTTTTATAGCTAAGGGTTGAAAATTTAAAACAATATTCCACGTAAGTAGTTAATTCTCTTACCGAAAAATCTATAAAATATACAATCACAGTTTATTTTTATAGTCATTTTATGTTCAAATTTGGACGAAATTACATATTAAAAAACCTAGTTATTTTGTTGTGATTATAAAATATTATTCGTGGGTACCTACTTGAAACTTCTAAAGTGTACTATTATATTATATCTATGATAGTATCAGGGTTTGTTATTGATGTTGATGTATAACGTGTTATAAGTACCTAATGGATATTGTGATAATGTGATATGATTAATTTGGAATTTATTATAGGTCAATTTTTTTTTTAATACCATAGATATCTATATAATTTGTCTTAAGCTTGACTGACATACCGTCTTCGCTCAGAATCGTTTTTCTAATACAATGATATTATATCATTGAATTCAAATTTAATACCATCATTATACAGTGACCCATTTGTAACCTACTGTACAGCAGAGCACCTTTTTTTAATTTATTTTCATGTCACTTCATTACAACGATGAGCAGTATTAAATGTAGAATGACGATTACATCGGATATCACGACTGTGCTATTTTAAATGATTTTTTTCAGAAGACCTACGAGTTATTTTGTTTTTATTTTTAGTAATTGGTCGGTAGTTTTTCACGAAGCTTTCTAAAACTACTTGGAATTTTCAATTTTGACCTCCCAAAAATACTAACTATATTCACTTTTTTATCAATAAAGATGCTGATTTCGAAAATAGCATGCTTAGGTTTAGGTAGGTACCATCCATAATGTTGCTTACAGACATAAAAAAAAATTCACATCATTGTAAAACCAATACATTCCTTCACTCAAAATCTAATATTATTCGTTGCTACTTATTAATACGTAATTGGCGTTTACATTATGTCAGCTGCAAGTACAAAATATTTAAGTGGTAGCCAAAAATGAAAATTGAGAAAAGAAAAACAAGACAAAATACAAAAGTTATCAAAAATCAATACATTTTGTATTAATTCTTCAGCTTCTTTCTATATACGAATTGTGTTATAGCCTTCGCAAGTTCTAAAAAGTTGGGAGTTCTTTTTTATTCTTCTAAAAATTTGGCTTGCTATTAGAAACTAGCTATCGAATATAGTGCTCTTCCATGACTGTTTTAGTGGGTACTTGATGATAATTCGTAAAATATGGAAACTAGCCAAGTCAGACCTTAGGCTTCAAAACATTATCCTAAGTGATAAGAAGAAATTATATTTCATGTTGTTATAAATAAATTTCAGGACTGACCATTGAACTTGGCATCCATTTAGATCTCACTTCTTTTGTCGTTGAAGTCAACAATCAAAGCATATATTATACTCTATTCAAAATGAGATCTTGACACGGCGGCAGCTACTGCGCATAGGCGTGGCTTTGTTCCGCAATGCTGCCCGACGCGTCGCCGCCGACGAGAGCATTTCAGCTCTCGTCATTTCAGCAATAAAATGCCTTATAAAGGGTTACTTTGATAGAGTAAATCATGTACTATAATATATACTTTTATTATACTTTAAGAAACTAACTAATCCATAAATTTAAAAAATGTATATGCATAAACACTTAAAAGGAAAATAAGCTAAAATAAGCTTTTGGATTCATACTTCAAATATAGAATAAAATTCTTTTTACGATAAATTTAAATTTAACAAAAATTATATTTTTATTATTAATTTTTAGAACTTTAATATCAATTTCATCATCAAATTGAATATCTATATGAATAGGATTAGAATTAAACTTAATCTCAATTATTCCAATTTTAAACTTTAAATCATCAATTTATTCTATTGAAGCTACAATAAAATATTTTTTAATTCAAGCTTTTGCTTCAATTTAATTATTAATTTTTTTATGTAATAAAAATTTATTATTTATAAATAATTATAATATCTTAATTATAATATCATTATTATTGAAATTAAGATTAATACCTTTTCACTTATGATTACCTTCAATAATAGAAGGATTAAATTGAATATCATGCTTATTAATAATAACCTGACAAAAAATTACACCTTTAATTATAATTTCTTATTTAAATGTAAATAAAAATATAATCTTTTGTATTAATTGTATTAATTTCTATAAATTCAATTTTTGGTTTAAATCAAAATTCAATACCTAAAAATTTTTAAACTTTTGGTTAAAGGAAAAGTTACTTTAGGGATAACTGCGTAATTAGTTTTTTAAGTTCAAATTTAAAAATTAGTTTGCGACCTCGATGTTGAATTAAGATTAATCTTAGGTGCAAAATTTTAAGTATTAGGTCTGTTTGACCTTCAAATTCTTACATGATTTGAATTCAAACCGTTTTAAGCCAGGTTGGTTTCTATCTTTTATTAAATAAATATAATTATTACAATTACATTATTACATTAATATACAGTATAATCCGTATTAAGAGACAATGTATTTATATACACATGTATATAAATACATATATAATATATGAACCTTTATTATGTCAGCAAACATAAATTTACAGCCTCTTTTCAGTAATAAATGTGTATGTAAGAAATATGGAAAGTCTCTGTCCCCTGTTGGTTCATTTTTTACTGTTAACTTCATTCCAACAACATGATGAGTAAATATATATTTACATAATTATGATATTTTGACAAGTTACAATAAGATACTATGACATATTTATTATTTATTGAGCCTGTATATATTTTTATTTATATTAAAAAATATTATTGACTTTTTTGCTACCCTTCAATGTTATTCCTGTTTGAACACCTCCTGGGGTTGGTCCTCTCCCTTTTTAAATTGGCCTATATTCTGTCCAGAGGTCTAATCTATCTCTGTACCAAATTATCCCGTGCATTTCATTGCCCCGCGACCAATGATTATTATTATAAGACTTTTAAAACCCATGACAACAATTCAAAAACAAAAATTTCCATCTGAAATCTCTAAATCTCTGTCTGAGCACCTTCTGGTGTTGGTTCTCTCCCTTTTTAAATTAGCCTATCTTCAGCCCAGAGGTCTAATCTATTCTTATATATAAATAGCTGATCCCGTGCACTTCGTTGCCCATTAAAAATGCCAACTCTACATGAATAATGTTTTACAATATATTACCATGGTAAATTGTAAAATACATATTATATATAATTGGTTGCCATTTTAATATGGACACAGACACACAGACAGACATACATTAATTTTTATATAGAATACTAGCTGATCCCGTGCACTTCGTCGCCCGTTAAATGGATCAACTCAATACTACCTACTCAACTTTGTTTAATTCATTACGTGTATGGTGTTCAAAATTTATCTTATCTTTCCCGTTGCCCTGATTAAAAATTCTGAATCGCAGCAGTACATTATCAGGTAGGCAATCTACCTGCGGTAGATCGCGGACCCCGTGCTGTTTTTACGGAAGTGTATGATTTAACTCTAAAGTATCAAAGTTATACCAAGTTTATTTTGATGTAATACTGTGGATTAATATAATAAATTTGGTTGCTCGTAAAAAATCGCAACTCTTAAAAAATTATGATTGTTGAACTCCTTTTGGGTGTAATTTTCTGCGGTAAGTGCAACTCTGCCACCCTGGTAAGCATTGTTCAATAATTCGATTGGATGCAAGCTTGTACCTGATCTGCCCGAATAACCAATGGCAACCAATAAATAAATGCTAATTTCTAATGTAGACTGTAACCAATGGCAACTATAAATAAATAAAAATAAAATTTCCAATTTCTATCGTGAATCTCAATGTCCCTGTTTCAGCACCTATTTAAAATGCGAATTTTGGCAAATCCTTTCTTAGCGCACGTCTATATTATAATAGCTATCTGTATGCCAAATTTCAGCCAGATCCGTCCAATGGTTTGAGCTGTGCGTTGATAGCAGTCAATCAGCTTACTGTTTTTTATATACAGATATGGTTGCCATGGTAATATGGACACACACACACACACACACACACTGACATACATTCATTTTTATATATATAGATTGATATAAAATCTTGGTAACCTTAGTAACCATGGCAACCTTGGTAACCATGGTAACATGGACACACAGACACACTGACACACTGACATACATTCATTTTTATATATATAGATTATTATCACTATATAATATCTGTGATTAAATATAATATCATGATCTAAAGAATTATAAAAAAAAATTGGAGGAATATTATTGTGGTTATTATCTAAGTTTAATTAAACAATTAAGTTGGATGTTTTAGTAGGTATATTATATAAGTACATAAATATGCGATAAGTAGGTATGTACTTAATTTTGTTTTCTACATGTTCACTTATTAGTAATTAATAATTATTATCTTTAAATCAGTAGGTTATGCATAAAAACTATATATTAGCCCTTGTGATTTAAAAATTCCCAAAAAATATATGTAAAAAAAGTTTTAATTGTTTACAATATGTAAAACTTAAATGACTACTGAGTAATGTTAATTATTTCACAGGATCTGCACCAATTTCTTTATCCAGCTAAGTATTATGATCTTGGATGCGTAGACGGTCTAGCCGAAGATTGTGTATTTTTGGCTTCCATTTGATAGCACTTCTATCCAATATGTATGTTGGTGGTTTATACTGCTCGGAACTAATCACCTCCTCAACCATTTTAGGCGTCACACAAATCACATGTTGATTTTTATAGTATTTTGTCATATTCATGGACTGCAAAGTTGAAATAATGTCCATTTGGGTGATACTGGTCATCGCACTACAGTGAATTATATAACTATTAACTGATCTCCTCGATATAATTGATTGTTAATAAATGTATACCTTAAGTCTTCAAGTGATAAAGTTCCAGAGGCGTTTTTCAAAATTTCCAACAGCGTCCATGACCAATAAGACCTGTATGACACTTTGCCAAGATCACTCAATGGATTTTCAGGGCCGGCTGGAAGTCCTTCCAACTTGCTCAATTCATAACTAAACGCTATTAATAGTTTACCATAGCCCTGTTTCTGGAATGGTGGCATTGTTAAAATACAAGATACATTGTGGCAATCTGGTGAATCTTTTTCCTAACATCAAATAAAGAAAATTTTTTATTGTCACAATTTAGAGTTTTTTTTTTATGAAAAATGTAATAGGTAGACATACTTTTGAAAAATATCCAACTAAATGTGCACCAGATTTGTCAATTTTACACAGGACGTAAAACAAAAATGGTTCAACATCAAAGAAGAGTGTTTTATGATCTATAAATAACTTTGCCAATAGACAAAGATTCTGACAATACAATTTGTGTTGACTGGAATCCACTTCCCAGATTGATAATATACCTTTATAATGGTACACCTCAACACCGGGTGGTTGTCTCCATATGCATTGGCTCTAAAATTTTACACATACGATATAGAAAAAAAAAAAAAAAAACTCACAGATTTAATTTAATACTGACCATATGGTATTTGAAAGTTTTTTCTAGTTTGCAATATTTCAAACAGTATTCACAAATCCAAATTTTAGACTCTTTTTGGTATTCTTCTGGAAATGGGCTAAAATACCATGTGTCAATTTCATACATTCCCAACTGTACTTTATTGATGTATTTAATTTTAGTTATGGCCTCGTGCTCTTTTTCAAACGCAGGTGTAATTGAATCCATTTTTCCATTAGACTAGTTAAAATAAAATATAACGAAATCCATTTAAATGGCTACAGTTATTTCTTTAGTTAATTTTTGTACATAAAAAAAAAGTTTTTGGAATTGTTGAAATTAAATTTTTGTTTTAATACACTATATTTTAAGCAGACTATTACCTATATTTTTATATTTATTATAATGAGCCCACTGAAATAATAATCAAACAAATTAACTTCTTTCCAAAGATATTAAGATATTAAGAAGGCCCGAATTGTTTTCTCTATCTGACCCATGCGGAACATAGTAAATTCTCATTAGTAAATCTAACTATTATCTATGCTTGATGAATTTTTAAAATTATATTTCAATTTTCATGCTATTTATGACTATTTAAAATGTTATCATTTACAAATTTCTCATATGGTTTATATGACAGAAAAATTGAAATATTGTGCAAAAGAGCTTAAGTCCAAACAGACAATATTTTTACTTTAGGCTTGATAATAGATCAATATCACACTATTCTATTAAGTCTAACAACAATATTGGGTTCGTGGGACGTAAATTAGCTATGTTGAGTATGGGTCATAGAGACAAAACATATTGTGCTGACATCCTTTTATAGTATAGAATTTGATAATATGGCTATCATTAATACAAGATAACATTTAACAATATGTATTTATTCAACACTATGATAAATGATGAATTAATATTATTCATTCAATAATAAGTTCTCTAACTTTATGCTTAAATAACAATATTTAGTAAATGTAAACATGTTGATTGTGTATTCAAACGTAGTACAAAAGACATAACACAGGATTTTAAACTCACAAATGCATGTGTTATATAAAATACATCACTGACTTTGGAATATTTATAACACCACATCATTACGAATATCTTATTGGTCTAGAAATTTAATTGGATCATACAGTAATATAGTGAATATTTTTACCATTGGAACATGATTTACCTCGTTGTGTCTACGGTTTTGGCTCCTTGTGGTTCTCTTGTTGGACTTATGTAGAAGATCGTTATTTTTATACATATCTTTCTGTTCCCATTTTTTTTCAGAACTATCAAATCTTGAATTCTTTATCCTAAATCATAATTTAATGTAGATATTAACTTTTAATTGCTGGATAGAAATCGAAATTAAATTATTCTTACCTATATCTCGGTACCCATTGATCCAATCTTCGGTCGCATCCTTCATAGTGTACATAGTACTCAAAAAGATTTTCTGTATCACTGGACCTCATATGTAAGACTACAGCGGGATCTAAAGATTAACAGACAAATAAGACACATTTAATTAATTAATCAGTAACATATGAAGAAATGTAAAAACAGGTACATAAATATCAAGTTATTTTATTTAATCGCTAAGGTATTATAGATCTGGATATAGAATTAAAATATTGGCAAATATGTTTTTACAATTTCTACAACATAGTATTAGTGAATAGGCGTTATTAACGATTAATTTAATAGGTAGGCAAATACTTACTTAGCTATGAAGCATATTGTAAAATTGAATATGACATCATATATTTACTAGTTTAATCATTACAATATCATTACTAGGTGAAAAGAAAGAAAAAATATTAAACTTTGATACCTGCAGGTATTTGTATATAATTACAGATAAATTATACTAGGATAAGTGATATAGGTACCAACGACCTACCTCATATAATATGCAGCAATAGGTTATAAGTATAAAAACCATTAACAAAGTCAACGTTTAAATTTTATCTTTATTATATTTTTTCCTGTTTAAAAAAGTTGGAGCTAGTAGTGATTCCACCCAAAAAAATATACAGGTACAAAAATGGATTTGTAAATTACGCCTGGAAAAAATATATATTTATAAACAAGTGTTCCGTGACTGTACAACACAACTGTGCTGTTAGAAAAATATAACTAGAAAATATAAAAATAATGAAATAAATGATGGAATAAAAACATGGATCGTTATTTTGGACATTTTGAGCAAAAAAAAAAAAAAATATATAGAAGTGATTTGATTTGATTGATTTTAAATTTTTATTTTAGAATTTTATATGATTATAGTTTGACTTGTCTTTATCATTATAATCATTAGGTACTATTTTTACAATTGTTGTTAATTATACCTACATGACTTATAATTATGTGGTAATTATTGACTTAATACGTGAAATATAAATGTATTTAAATACGTACTTACAATCCATAATCTATATTATTATAGTCACATTCACAAATTTGTATATTATAACAGTTAGTAATAAATGTATTCTATTTAAACCTACCTATTAAATTTTATTTATAACATTATGTTACATTATGACTGTCCCTCCTGCCGACAAGGTACCTATGGGTACGTCCATTTAAATATACAAATAAATAAATAAATATTTAAAACTGCTTTGTAAAAATGCAAAAATACATGGTTTTGATTGAAAATTACAAAAAAAACTAACTTGATTTTTTTAAACTTCAATAAGTAATAAGAACTTCTTATTTCTAGGTATGATGTGTTTATTATTTAAAATAATTTTTTTCCGGCGGTATTTACATGTAGGTACCTTTTTTAGTTTTGTCACCTGCATTAGTCTTTTTGGACGGAATTAACATGCGCCCATAAAATATATAGGTAAATATATATATGTATACATATATATAAATTACTTGGTACTTACACAATTATTGAATTATAATATGAATGTTTATTTTTATTTATTTTAGAGCCGACTAGCCAAGAAAAATCACTTGCCCGTTTTATCATTTTTATAAATTTTATATAATAATATGGTCACCATAAACGATAATAATCTATGTACTAAACTCACTCTCAGTGTGAACGAGACGTGTGCGGGAAAACAGTCGTTTCGGCGGCCGTGGTGCGGGGTACAGAATAACAGACTACGCTATACGCAGGGTTGCTACTAATTTTTTTCTTAAAAAAAGTGAGAATAGTGAGTATTTTTTTCAATTAAGTGAGTAATATTCTAGTAAAAAGTGAGTATTATTTTCATATTATAGGTGAGTATTTTTAAACAAAAACATAAAAATAAAATACAATTGTTTAAAATATTTTCAGTTGTTTTTTACTTTTTCAGTTTATTATAAACAAGTTATAAATTATACTTATAAAACAATTTTGTTTAAATATTAATAATAGTTGGTTCTACCTACAGTACCTAAATTATATAACATAAATAAAATTTAGGTAACCAACAAATATAACAACTGTAGAAACTGATATTATAGTATTATGTATATAATTTTTTTGAATGATATTATAATATAGTATAATATAAGTATTTGTAATTAAATATTAATAATGTGGTAATTATAGATACTAATTAGTGTTTAAAAAATATTTGTTCAACAATTTTCATGAGGTTATGAGTAATATTGTAGTCTGGGGATTTTTATTCCACAATTCATTTTTTTTATTTTTAAAAATAGTCTTAAAACATAAATAATTATAAAAATTTCGAATATTTAATTTAAACACTTATTTACATTTATAGATCTTTAAAAAAGTGAAAAAAGTGAGGAATCAATGAAATAAGTGCGAAAAAGTGATTACACTCAAATAAAGTGAGAATAGTGAGTGCGTAGCAACCCTGTATACGGCGTGCCGGCCTCTGGCAGACGAACAATAACAACGACGCGCGGAACGTGAACGACGAGTGACAGGTGTGCGGCTGGAAAAATATTTCGTTGGCGAAGATTACTCGCGAGCCGCCACCGTCGCCGTCGCCGAATTGTATCGAACGTAAGGGGTTGCGGCGGCAGTCGTGAACCATAGAGTTGTGGCCAAGTATTCATGGTCATATTTTCAGGGGTGGACTTTTGGTCCAGGGTGCAAAATCAAGTTTTACATTACAATAAGAGTTAAATTTAAGAAAGGGCCCGAGAGTGGTAATCGGGGCCTGTATTAGAAATTACCGAAAAATCGAACGACGCCAGAGTCGTTGTCGTCTTCCACATAGTCGGCAAACAAAATAATATTCGTGTGTAAAGTGTATAATGTGTGTTACGAGTCAGCCGAGCCGAAGCCTACGACATATTTTCGTCAGCGATCGGCGGCGGCGGCAGTGTTACGCGTCCGCACCCGCACGAATTCTGCCGGGTTTACACGATGCGTAGTACTTGTCATTAGTAGCTCATGGGTATCTACTTGTCGTTAGTAAATAGAACGGCGTCCTATTCACTCGCACTCCCGGTTTTACTAATACTAAGCACTTTTTTTTCTGTTTACACGCAATGTGCAAGTGCGAGTGACAAGTACTAATGACAAGTACTACGCATCGTGTAAACTAGGCAGAACGCGTGGCAAACCAGCGACTCGCGCGCACGCACATAATATTCACCTAGCGTGACACCTGCCTGGTCGTTTCGATCATAGACCTATAAACTAACGAACAGCGCATTCCACTCCGCCCTGCCATCAATGCACGGGAATCGTATAATGGAAAGAACGAAGAAAGGACGAATAGAGAAAAAAACATAATGGGGGAAAATCATGGAAACTGTTTTTCTCCCACGTTCTCTTTTCTCTTTTACTCTATATCGTACCCCTGACCTCTATCTCAAAGCGCTGTCCATTAGCTTATAGGTCTATGGCTCCGATCCGCGATCGTCTCATCCTATCGATACCTACTATTATCGTAATTAGTTATATTGTGTGTACTCACGCCATGAGCCGTCGTTCCGCCGGACCTCGTAGTGTTTGCCCACGTCCAGGGTTTCCGAATCCTTGTTGACAGACTTCGCACTTTTACGCCGGCTCATGGTAGTTGCCGGTCGATGGCTAAGACGATACGCCGCGTATAAGAGAGCGCACGGCGAGATTATCGCAAAAACAATAACAATATAAACGTTTCGACTGTCAACCACGAAGACAACGTGACAGCGGTGAATGTCACCAAATACTAATTACTATAGATTAGGTGCAGGCTGTCGTGTAGTTCCGTCCGTTTGGCACACGTACCCCGCCCCGCACCGTTCAGTCAACGATACCGACCCTAGCGGCACACCGAGACAACGCCATGAACATACCTACGCTAGTATTGGCGCCGCTCAAACGAAAGTTATCGAGACGGCTACAAGTGGGAGGGACGCGAACAGATTTCCCGACTTTGATAGCAATTGATAACAGCGAACTTGATAAGAATAAAAAAAATTTTCATGACAATAATTCCTAGTATTCCTACAAAAGGTAGAAAAAAATCCCAATTCCCTCGGCGTTCACCAGCGAATAAATGGAAAATCAAAAAATCGATTTCATACCAATAGTGATTTTTCGAAAAATGTATAGCGATAAATGTTGCCTTCTATAAAATAAAACACTCTTTAGTTAGCTTTTGATGTTAGGTTTTTATCATTTATTGATCAATGATCATAAAACTATAATATCCATATTTTAATACTTTTGACTTCATATTAATACCATTGTGGTTACTTATTACCTACCTATAGTTTTTTAAATACTTTGTAAACATTATCATTTTTTGGGACAAGTATTTTAGTATTTAATAGGTACGTATATACAATAATTACTTTGTAGGTACTAAAACTTCTGTTTTTTGTTTATTGGAGATAAACTTAACTTGTAATAGGTATTATGTAACTAAATGACACATCACTACCTGCAGTATGCATTTCCTTTACAATTTCATTAAATTTTAATTCTATAATTCTATATTTATGTATATAGTCTTATTGTATTAAATTGTATACATATGACATATCATACTTTTAGATTCTGAGCGGAGCGATGAATGTATTGGTTTTACAATGATGTATGTTTTTATATTTTTATATTTTTTTTTTTTTTTTTGTGTCTGTCATCACGTTTTAGGACAGTAAAAGTGCTTGGATTTTCTTCATCAGTAGCTTTTCTGATAGGAAAGTGAATCTAGTTGGTACTTTGGGGGGTCGAAAGTATAAATTTCCCAGTAGTTTTCACAAGCGCCGGGAAAAACAACATAAAAATTAAGGAAAAACGGGAATTTTTACGCAAAATTGGTTTTCCAAAAAATCGATTTTGGTTATTGGTGTAACTCTAAAACAAATTAACGTATATACATGAAATTTTCACTGGTTGTTTATATTTGCATTTTCTATACGCGATAACATTTTCAAAATATTTTGATTTATTTTGAACTGTTTAGGGACATTTTCATTTTCCATTTTTTTTTTAGTTTTTTTTCTAAAAATATCAATACAATTTTATTTGTTGGTTGCGAAAGCTTGACAATTTAATAGAAGGCTCCTAATATACTGTTTCAAAGGCAGATGAAAAATATTAAAAATCCGTAGTCACAATTTTTTTTTATAAGCATTTAAAGAAATCTAAGATTTGAAAATGAAACACAAGATTCCTTATAAGATTATCTACCTTTATCAATGAAAAAATCTCTACCGGACAGTCAAATTAAATTTTTATGAGCGTTTGAAATTCAAATTTTTACAACATTGGATTTTCACTCGATTACTCATGTAGCGATTTCCTTATTTTGTTGCAACTCAAAAACGAACAACTGTAGATACATGAAAATTTCACTGAATGTTTAAATTAGCATTTTCTATACACCATACAATTTTGAAAATATTTTGACTCTTTTTGAGCTGTTTATGGACATTTTCAGCTTTCAATTGTTTTTATTTTTTTTTTTTATAAATATCAATAAAGTTTTATCTGTTGGGCCAAAAAGTGTAAAAATTTAATACAAGGCTCCTGATATATTGTTACAATAGCAGTTGAAAAATATTAAAAATACATAGGCACAGTTTTTTTTTATAAGCATTTAAAGATCAAATTTTGACAAAATTTATCAAAATCTCGAAAATTATCAATCATTGTAATTAATACCTAAATTATAAAATGTTCAGTTTTTATAGCTAAGGATTACAAATTCAACACAAAGGTTCTCGTAAATAGTTCATACTGTAACCAAAAAATCGAAAAAATATATAAACACACTTATTTTTTACAGACATTTTAATTTCAAATTTAGACAAAATTTCATATTTAAACCAAAAATTACGATTTTAGTTATTTTGTTGTGATTGAATAATATTATTCGTGGGTACTTGAAAGTTGAAACTTCTAAAGTGTACTATTATATATCTATGATAGTATCACGGTTTTTGTTGATGTATAACGCGTTATAAGTATCTAATGGATATTGTGATATGATTAGTTTGGAATTTATTATAGGTACCTACCTATTATAGGTCAATTTTTTGTTTAATACCATAGATAACAGTATATAATATATCTTATACATAGACTGACATCTGACCGCTCAGAATCGTTTTTCTTATACAATGATATTATATCATTGAATTAAAATTTAATACCATCCATTTTACAGTGACCCACTTGTAACCTACTGTACAGCAGAGCGACACCCACTTGCCCACCTTTTTTTATGTTTAGGTTAATTTGAACTTAAAATTAATATAAAAATAAACTGTGATTCTGTATTTTTTCTAGTTAGTCATACAATTTACAAAAATTATTTATATATTGTTTTATTAAATATATGATTAAACATATTAATCCACTGACTTCTTCAATTTTATTTCTGATTCAGCCTGGATTGCAGTACAAATTTAACAGTGTTATTTAAATGGCAATGAATGTTTTTAATTTTGATTTTTTCTTGTATTTAAAAAATAAAATAAGTGCTTTAAATTTATTTTTATTCCTAACCTTTCAAATTATTCATAATTTATTAGTTGTTTAGGGTTTAATTTTGTTGTTGAATTTTGTTTTTTTTTTTAATTTAATTACTTGGTTATCATTTCATTCGACATTACTGGTATAAATGGGACTTCGCTCTAATGTTTGGGATTTTCTCCTTGAGTCAGAGAAATTTATGTGTGTTCTATGTGTTGCATCTTTGTCCTAAATGCTTGTAATTATGTGTTTTGTGATTTATATGTTCAACAGTGTGTAAGATATGAGTAAGTAAATTTATGTGTATTTTAATTTTAGTTAATTTTTATAACCAATACATATACAATTTGTTGCTTTTCTTATAACCTAGGTTAGGTTTATTATATTCTTGATAACATTGTTTAAAGCATGCTTCTTTATTCTATTGTAGTTGCTTGATTTTATTTGTAATGCCTATACTAGGATCACCTGTTTTTTTAATAATAGTTTTCTATTTTTTTTTCTCGTGTCCAGTTTATTTAACTAAGTAGGTAGATATAGTTATTTTATAATTAGTTTTTGTTATAAATCAATGATCATGTGAGCATGCAATTCAAAATACAATTCAAAATTAACTTTTTCATATAATAGAGAATAATTTTTCACCGTATTCCAATAAACAGGGTTGTAGCAATCACTATTCTAAATTCTTTTTAATGTTGTTACTTGTTTAAAGCTCTTTAAATGTAAATATGTATTTAAGTTAAATATTCAAATATTTTACATTTAATTAAGTTTTGGGACTATTTTTATTTATGGAAAATCAATACAAAAATATTTTTCAATAGTATTTAATATTTTTGACAATTGAGAATAGTATATATTTCACTGGCTCAATGAATTATTACTTATAGTATTGAGAGTTAGGATTCTGTCAGGCATGACAAAAGTTGATATATTATATATAATAATGATTTTACAAAATAAATGCTACAGAATGTATTTAAATTATTTCGTAACTAGTAAAATATAAACTATCACAATTATTATTAACATAACTTATAAGAACATATTACCTACCTATATTATAATATGATTTAAGTTAATAACATTTTTATGTACATGGAACTGATTGATAATTACGATTCTGAACTATTCTAAACAGAATCGTGTCATCCTATTATCATATAGATTTAATAATGGTATTGATATTAGTTATTACAGTTATAATGGCTATATTGTGTATACTGTAGTATAGCGTCGTCATAACGTACAATATTGGCATAGGTACTGTCAATGTCATATGAAATGTTACTATAAGACGGAGACAACACAATAGAACAAGAGCATTTAAATTTAACATCCATTAAATGTAAAAATCAAAAATGATTTAATTCTAAAAAAGATTGATCAGAACTTCTTATAACATTTTAAATTATTCTAAATACTGTAAAACGAAATGTCTTTATAATGCAAGACCTGCGTTAAAATCACAACCAACATTATTTTGGGCATTCAAGTCTCCCGCAGACAATAACAATTTTCGTGATTCTCTACAATAATAATTATATTAAGAGGACGCCACACGAGCGAAAATACCATACAAAAACATGCCAATTTTGACTCGATTTTTGATATTTTAATTTTTTATACTAATTATTCACAAGGAAAAAAGTGAGAAAAAGTGAAAATTCAAAACGATTTTATCGATTTTGAAAATCAAATATCGAAAATCGGGTCTTATACGTCACCTGATAAAACTCTTCTCTACAACTTTTAATAAAGGTATTTTGTTCTAAAACCATTCAGTAAGCGGCAAGCCCGGATTAAGACCTTCAGGGGCCCAGGGGCCAATACACAGTTGTGGGCCCCCCATCAATAAAAACAATTCTTTAAAATTATAAAAGTATTTATACAATAAAACAAATTTAAAACTTTTTATTTAAATATTATAATAATAATAATAAATGATAATATAATCTTTATACATGATACTTATTTGGGAGCAAAACTCTCCAACCCTACATTCATAGACCATGTTTGAATCCCTTAAACTTGAAACAACATTTTTAAACTTTTCAACAAATTCACAGCTTTTAAAATACCATTGCTTTTGCTTTGTAAATCAATAGCTGATACTTTATTACAGTGTTGTAATATGTCATTCCAAAATAGACACAAATAGCCTGTTTCTTTTTTCAACATTTTCTTCAACAACACCTTTGCATTATATTTTGTATCCCCATTTTCATTTTTGCTATCAGATATTTCAAAAAGTACAGTTAATATAGTTTTATAATTAATAGTGAGTGCACGGCAAGCCTCAGAATGGCATGCCCATCTTGTGTCACTTAAAGACTTTAAAAATAACAACCTTTCTTTATCCTTTTTCTCTAATGAATTGGTTAAGATTGACCATCTGTGAGTAGAGCCACTGAAAAAATTATATAGCATTTGCAAAAAACTAAAAAAATGTACAGCTTCTTCACAGCAGTCTACACTATGTACACCCACTAAATTTAACGAGTGGGTTGTACATGGAATATATATAGCTAAAGAGTTTTGATTTTTAACGTGTGCCTGAAGTCCCTCATATATACCACTCATGTTGGAGGAATTGTCATAGGATTGACCACGAACATTTTTTATATCAAGTCCAGTATTTTTCAGAAATTCACTTAAGATATTAAAAATGAACTCTCCTTTATGACTAGTTACTGGTGTTAGATGAAACAATCGCTCATAAACTTTAGATGAAATACAATATCTGAGTACTATAGCCATTTGATCAATTTTTGAAAGATCTGGGGTAGAGTCCATAATTATAGAGAAGTATTTTACCTGTTTAACTTCTTCTACTATAAAGTTAACTAAATCATTTTTCATTATGTTTATGATTTCATTACAAATGGTTTTTGACATATATGATGGATTACCTTTCCCCTTATTACCATATAACTCAATGTGTTTTTAAAAATGGATCAACATTAGCAATAAGCTCTAATAAGTCTAAATAATTTCCATTGTTGTTGACTCCAAAAATTTCATGATCTCCTCTTAAAGGTAATCCTCTTATAGCCAGAAACTTAATAACAGTTGTTATACGCTTAAATATTTGAATCCAATAGTCCCTTTCTACTAAAATTTGTCTACACATTTCTTTGTTAACAGATGTTTTTGTATTTGATCGTACTAACCATTTTGTTGTAGCATTTTGATGTTCAAGACTGTTTTTATGAAGTTCAATTTTATTTGATTTTTTCCAATTTGAAAATCCAGTACCTACAAAGGGACTTTGGTTCTTTTGTTGGTCACTTCCAAAAAGCTTGCACATAAAACAATATACAACACCTTGACTAGGAGAATACATTAACCTGTCGTTTACATTTCTCGCCAATTGGTAACTTTCTTTGAAAAGAAGTTAGTGATAGATGCCTTGTGTGATCATTTTCTAAAATATAAAAATAATTAACAATAGTAATATAATAATTAATGTTCAAATCAAAGAAATACTAATTATAATAAATATAATAATTTATATTTTAAACTAATATAATATTTATTAAACTTTTCTATATTCACCAATCACCTTTCTTTCTAGCTGACTTTTCAAATGAACAATTATCATTTTGAAAAAATTCTGGTCCCTTTTCAATACAATAGGATATAAAGTTGTCATCAATTATGCTTGGCCAGTAAAAGGAATCCTTGCAGTCCATATACATCACTGCTGACTTAACTAATGCACCCTTTGCATCATTTGAATTATTTATTTCAGAATCTTGAGATACATCTATAAATTACATAAGCATGTTAATTTTGAATCAATAATTTCATTTAAAAATTTTCTACTTTTTTCATAGAATTATAAATTTACATTGAAAATAAATGTATATTTGTTTAACTGTATAATTATCTACCTGAATTTCAGATATTAAACACTAACAATATTGTAAAATAATAATACTAAAAATTTAAATATGTAATGACCTATTTTATTACCCGTAGGTACTAGAGTTATGAATTTGCTGTTCATCATTATCAATTTTAATTACTGCCGATTTAATTGGTAAATCTGTTATTTTCTATATTTCAGAATTTTGAGATACATCTATAAAATACATAATTGTTTTTATCGAGGTATATATTTAATTTATATACTTAATAATGGTATAGGTACCTAATAGTTAACAATGGTTAATTAAATATATTTTTTATATAATACCCTTCTTAGAACCAGCTGAAGAATTAACACAAAATGTATTGATTTTTGGTAACTTTTGTATTTTGTCTTGTTTTTCTTTTCTCAATTTTCATTTATGGCTACCACTTAAATATTTTGTACTTGCAGCTGACATAATGTAAACACCAATTACGTATTAATAAGTAGCAACGAATAATATTAGATTCTGAGAGAAGGAATGTATTGGTTTTACAATGATGTGTATTTTTTGTGTTATGTCTGTAAGCAACATTATGGATGGTACCTACCTAAACCTAAGCATGCTATTTTCGATATCAGCATCTTTATTGATAAAAAAGTGAATATAGTTAGTATTTTTGGGAGGTCAAAATTGAAAATTCCAAGTAGTTTTAGAAAGCTTCGTGAAAAACTACCGACCAATTACTAAAAATAAAAACAAAATAACTCGTAGGTCTTCTGAAAAAAATCATTTAAAATAGCACAGTCGTGATATCCGTTGTAATCGTCGTTCTACATTTAATTCTGCTCATCGTTGTTATGAAGTGACATGAAAATAAATAAAAAAAGGTGCTCTGCTGTACAGTAGGTTACAAGTGGGTCACTGTATAATGATGGTATTAAATTTGAATTCAATGATTTAATATCATTGTATTAGAAAAACGATTCTGAGCGAAGACGGTATGTCAGTCAAGCTTAAGACAAATTATATACATATCTATGGTATTAAAAAAAAAATTTACCTACCTACCTATAATAAATTCCAAATTAATCATATCACATTATCACAATATCCATTAGGTACTTATAACACGTTATACATCAACATCAATAACAAACCCTGATACTATCATAGATATAATATAATAGTACACTTTAGAAGTTTCAAGTAGGTACCCACGAATAATATTTTATAATCACAACAAAATAACTAGGTTTTTTAATATGTAATTTCGTCCAAATTTGAAAATAAAATGACTATAAAAATAAACTGTGATTGTATATTTTATAGATTTTTCGGTAAGAGAATTAACTACTTACGTGGAATATTGTTTTAAATTTTCAACCCTTAGTTATAAAAACTGAACATTTTATAATTTATTAATTACGATGGTTGATAATTTTCGAGATTTTGATAAATTTTGTCAAAATGCGATCTTTAAATGCTTATAAAAAAAATTGTGCCTATGTATTTTTAATATTTTTCAATTGATATTGTAACAATATATCAGGAGCCTTGTATTAATTTTTCACACTTTTTGGCCCAACAGATAAAACTTTATTAATATTTATAGAAAAAAAAAACTAAAAAAATTGAAAACTGAAAATGTCCGTAAACGGCTCAAAAAGAGTCAAAATATTTTCAAAATTGTATGGTGTATAGAAAATGCTAATATAAACATTCAGTGAAATTTTCATGTATACAGTAATTCGTTTTTGAATTACAACAAAATAAGGAAATCGCTACATGAGAAATCGAGTGAACATCCAATGTTGTAAAAATTGAATTTCAAACGCTCATAAAAATTTATTTTGACTGTCCGGTAGAGATTTTTTTATTGATAAAGCTAGACACACTTATGAGTAATCTTGTATTACATTTTCAAATCTTAGATTTAAAAAGAAAAATTTTTACGAATTCTTAACTCAAAATAATTTGCTAATTTTAGTGATTTTTCCATATTTTGTCAATTTTTGAACTTTAAATGGTTATAAAAAAAACTGTGACTAACGATTTTTAATATTTTTCATCTGTCTTTGAAAAAATATAGTAGGAGACTTGTATTAAATTTTCAAGTATTTTTACTCTCCAAATAAAATTTTATTGATATTCATAAAAAAAAGTAATAAAATTGGAATCTGAAAATGTGCCTAAACAGTTCAAAATAAATCAAGATATTTTGAAAATGTTATCGTGTATAGAAAATGCAAATATAAACAACCAGTGAAAATGTCATGTCTACGGTCATTTGTTTTTAAGTTACACCAAAAAAAAAAATTCAATTTTCTGAAAAATAGATTTTGCGTAAAAATTCCCGTTTTTCCTTAATTATTCTTTGGTTTTTCTTGGCGCTTTTGAAAAGTACTGTGAATTTTAAATTTTGACCTCCTCAATGCACCAACGATATTCACTTTCCAATCGAAAAAGATACTGAAGTTCAAAATCGAAGCATTATTTCGACTACTTATCGTGTACACAGACACAAAAAAAATAAAATAATAAAAAAATACACATCATTGTAAAATCAATACATTAATCGTTTCACTCAGAATCTAAAATATACAAAATTATTTTATGAATTTGGAAAATGAATTATCAAAAATCGAGTCCTTTAATTTTATATAAAATATCTATAACCACCCCTTCAAAAACATTTAAACGTAATTTCTATATAATATACATTAATCATTGTGTTAAAAATATAAGAATTTATAAAAGTTAAAACTTATTACATAAAATAATTAGTGTATTGGGATTTGCGACATCCGACAAATAGTAATTTATTATATAATTTTTTCCTGAAAAAGTTGCATTTAAAAATATCATGTTTGTAGATGTAAAATATCATAATATAGGTACTTCAAGCTTTCAAGTAGCCAAGAATAATATTAGATTTTGAGTGGAGAGAAAGAATGTATTGGTTTAACAATTATGTGTTTTTTTTTATGTCTGTAAGCAACATTATGGATGGTACCTACCTAAACCTAAGCATGCTTAGATTTTCGATAAAAAAGTGAATATAGTTAGAATTTTTGGGAGGTCAAAATTGAAAATTCCAAGTAGTTTTAGAAAGCTTCGTGAAAAAGTACCGACAAATTACTAAAAAACCGCTAAAAATGGGATTTTATTTCTAACGTATTGTTTATCACCATACCAACGAATAAAAAAAATAATATTATTAGGTCTACGATAACCAACCAGAATCATTTTTCGTATACAATGGTTTATCATTTTATTTAAATATAACACATCCATTACAACTACTGTACGTCTGTACAGCAGAGCGGTACCCACTTGTCCAACATTTTTTTTAAATGTTTTAAATGTTTTAAAATTTTTACTTCCAACTAACAACTGTCAACAATATCATGAGTAGGTATCCATTTATTAAATTTGAGGTATTTTAAAATTATTTATCAACAATAATTTAAAAATATTTAAAAATCTACGGTTATTATTGTTTGACATAATCAAAAAAAACTATAACGATTTTATCGAAAACTGGTTTCCTGAAAAAGCCTCGTAATTTCTTTGTGACCATGTATTATTAATATTTTTTAAAAGTCATTGTATCAATAATATAGTAGGAGCTTTGTATTAAATGTTCAAGCTTTTTGACAAAACGAATAAAATTTTATTGACATTTATAGACAAAGAAACTAAAAATGTGTGCAAGTGGGTATCGCTCTGCTGTACCTACATACAGTAGGTTACAAGTGAGTCACAGTAATATATGGTGTACAATTTGAATTCAATGATCTAATATCTTTGAATAAGAAAAATAATTCTGATCGAAGACGACCAGTCAGCCTATGATAATACAAAATATATTTTATGATATTATTATGAATAGAGTAATTTATATATAACCTATTTGCGTGGAACCTTGTTTTAAATTTTCAAACCTTACCTATACAATTTGAACATTTTATAAATTTTTAACTACAAAGTCATTATGAAATATTTAATTTGATACATTTTTTCAATATTAGTACTTTAAATAAGTAATTATAAAAAAAATTTTAAAGTATGTATTTTTACATTAATTTTCACGCTCTTTTACCCAAAAAAATGCAATTTTATTGATATTTATAGTCTATAGAAAAAAAACTAATAAAATTGAAAACTGATTATGTCCTTAACGGACAAAAAGCTCAAAAAGAGTCAGACAATTTATTTAAATTGTATGGTGTATAGTGTATAGAAAATGAAAATAATCTTGTATTACATTTTCAAACCTTCAAATTTTTATGAACTCTCAATTCATAATAATTTGTTAATTTTCGTGATTTTTCCGAACTTTGTCATGATTTGAACTTTAAATGCTAATAAAAAAAAACTGTGACTAAGGATTTTTAATAATTTTCAAATGTCATTGTAACAATATAGTAGTAGCCTTGTATTAAATTTT